CTCACCTGCACCCCCAGGGTGAAACATAATGGGCTTTTGCAATTACAGACAGTGTCCATTGCACCAGCCCTCACAACAATCTCTGGCACCCACCACATCTGACATAGATCTTTCCACAAGTGCCAGAGAAGGTCTGGCCTGGAGAGCCCACATCGCTTTGCAGATTGCTGTAGAGTGTTACAAGCTGTGGTGTGATCCTGTCATTCACAGAGGCTGGCCATGCTTCTCCAGCAGCAGGAAACAGGCACACCTGGATGCTCACACTTACTGAATTAAAAAAAAAATCCAGGTTACGCCATGAAAACTAGATACTAATACACTGAGCCACTGATCTGTGAGGTAAACATTCTGACAGGAATACACAAATGGTGTGTTCTAGGCTCAAATAAAAAAATAGGTGCCGTGTTTTTAATTCACCATAAGTTCTGTGGATAATCTAGCTAAGTGCAGAAACTAGAAAGTTTCATAAAACTGCTTTTAGGGTTCTTTCCACATCTTAAAAAACTTCAGTGTTCAACAACCTAAATATTCATTTTGACAGAAAAGAAATTGTTTAAGTAGAAACAGTAAAATAACTATTTTTTTATTTTTTTGTGGTGCAGATTCTCAAAGCTAGCACCAGGCACACTTAGCTTTGCCACTAACCTATATATTTCTAGATCTAAAATAGAAATTTTAAATGGTATTTTTTCTGTTTTAATTTTTTTCTTTTTTTTTTCTTTTCTTATTTTTTTTTAAAGTTCCTTGGAACAGAGATGCACTTAACATGTGGTAAAAATTATATATTCAAACTGTCACTCACAAATTTGCTTGGGGCTTCCTCCTTTTATATCCTGGTCGTTTTGAAAACTTATAGATTATGGTCATCTGAATCTCCTTAGATTTAAATGAGGAAAATACCAATGCTTCATGCAAAGCAGACACGCTCCTCCCTTCCAGGGAGCATATGGATTTAGAAAGAAAACATGCATCCAGGTCTTCTAAGAACTCTTTGGATACACTTTCAAAAATTCTTTGAAATCTTTGTATTTTTGAACTGACTTTCCCTCTTACCGCCACACATTTAACTCTTTACTGCTTACAAATACAGAGCGTGTCAACCCTGCGAATATCACTGCACAAACTGAGCAGCACTTCAGGGTGGCGGAGTTTTCTTGTTTGGACCCTCATTCATCTCCGTATTCTCTAATTTATATGACTTCCATATTTCTATCTTTCCTCTTACTGGTGCTTTTCTGACTCTGCCTTTTGTCTCTAGGAATGCTAATGGTGTCGGTCCACACCCTGGGCCTTTGTGATGCGCATTCTTTGGCACACTTTTACATCAGCTCTCAATTAAATGTGAGGGAATAACATATGCTTGGTGCACTCCCGCACTTCTGAACACTTGCTAAAGCCTTCCTCATCTATGCTCTGTCATTCTATTTACTGTCACTCGGTAGTTTTAAGTTTTATATTTTCTCAGAATTTCTGTTTTACCTTTGGCTTTCTCAATATTTACTAAGCTCTGCTTTCTCTGAAATGCAAGCTTATTTGTATTAGTTCCTTCAGGGTAGCTTGCTGGGTGACTTTCCATGTCTAAACTGCCTCCCGGTGCTGTGCTGTCTCACTACCTCAACTCCTTCTTTCTTTATCTTATCTTATCCAGTGGAAGCGAATCACCCATTTCATCCAGTACTTTCTCCTGATGCGGATGGGAGCAGCTACAATTCTAAAGTCCCTGTAAAGTGAAGGTCTGCACTTCGGTCTTCGTATTTCCTGTGAGGAAAAGGTATTAATACGATGCTTTACAACTTGTCTGCCCTAACTCTCCTGGAGACCAAGCTCTTTTCAATGTCACACACCTCATTACAGAAAACTAGAGATGAGTTTGTGTTTTTGTGTTTATAACAACATGCGTATAGGTACGTGTGACAAAGGAACAGAGAAAGAAAGAAATGTGTAGCTCCATGGAAACAAGAACTTCCTGTGATTGTAGGCAATCTTCCTGCCTGCAGTCTTTTTGTAAATGAATATGTTGTGGTTGGATGGCCTTTCTGTATCACCTGAGTTTAGCAACCTTGTCTGTAACATCTCCATGTTCTGAGGCAGTTATTTAGGACGTAAAGTGTTGTTAGAGCAGTGAAGATGCTTTTGTCCAAAAACCAAAATTGCAAACAATTTATTTAGTTCATTTTTAAGGTTATTCAATGCCCTGAAGTGCCAGCTCACAGGACTGTTGTTATTATATTATTATCAATCCTTTGAGAGGCTCATATAATGTGTTTTGATCATATTCACCCACCATTCCAATAATATCTTTCAGATCTGCTTCTATCTTTCCAACCCTTCCCAAACTCATGTCTTCACCTTGTCCTCCTCCTCCCCCTCTCCCTTTCTCCTCCTCCTCTTCTTTTTTTCCCTCCTTCTCCTCCTCCTCCTCCTCCTCCTCCTCCTCCTCCTCCTCCACCTTCTCCTCCTCCTCCTCCAGTTTCTTCCTCTTCATAACCCATCCAGTCAAATTTGTGTTGTTCACATACCCATGGATATGGGGCCCTCCACTGGAGCATAGTGCACCTACTAGACACCTTATCCCTAAAGGAAACTGACCCCTACCCCCAGAACCCATCAACTACAATAGTTCTTCAGTAATAGTTAGGAGCTTGTGAGATTCCCCCCTCACTCATTTTCCCAGTCACCTGGTGATGGTGCACATATTGTTACTGCTATTCTCAAAATATTTCAGGTAATTAAGAGCACAAACCCTTCTGACCTGTCCAATGTTAAAGCAGTTAACAAAGCTGAACAACTTCTACTGCAGGTCAAGCACAACTCTCTTCCCTTTGAGCACAGAGATTATATCCAGTTTCTAAACCAGGATTTCTATTATTATTTTTATTTAAAAATTTTATTTCATATAATATATTCTGATCATATTTATCCTCTCCCTCAACTTCCTCCAGATACTTCCCACCTCTCTACCCATATATCTTTATGTTCTCTCACTCTCTTTCAATTAAAAAAAAAAAGCATAAAAACAAAAATTAAAACAAAGAGGCAAAAAAAAAGTAAAAAAAAAAAAAAAGACCAAACCTTAAAATTAAAAAAAAAAAAACAAGTCCACACACAAGCGACAAAAACATAGAGTTCATTTTGTGTTAGCCAGCTGCTACACCAGCTACTCGTTGGCATGGGGCAATTCCTGGGTATGGTTAATATGCTTGACACTCCATTGGAGAAAATGAATTTTCCCTTTGTCAGCAGGTGTCAATTTCAAGCAGCTTCTTGTTTAGGACTTTGTGTCCACTCTGTTTTACTAACTAGCTATTCTTCCTTTGGAAGAATTTGTAACTCTATTTCCTTCACTTTTCTGTTTATAGATTTAGTGAGTGTTTCCCATGAAATCTCTGGTCTCTTTGGACTTAAAAGCCTCTGGTCTAATATCATCAGTGATCTAGCTACAAAACAATAACTTTTGTCACCTGGCCTCAGTGGTTCTTTGCCCATTTGTGACTCAGAGTTAGCTCATAGCACAGGCTGTTTCATTCTGCCTAGACTTTGTGCTCAAGTTTACTTCTACCTGCTACTTTAGAGGATGTGTTGGCCACTGAAACTGCATAGCTGGAGAGCAATTCTTCCCTCAAATAGAGATAATTGTGCAGGAATGGGTCACCACAGCCCTGTATGACCTCCCCACTCCCTCACACACAATTACTTGATAAGTTTTGTATTTCATCGTCCTCCCCTTCTCTCCTGAAACTTAACAGAGTCCTTCCCATTAACCCTGAAGCAAAACCCATCTTAGCACCACAGACTCTCCACTAACGGTTCTCGTTGTCCTTGTCCCTCCTCCACATTCTCTTCCTATTCCTACATCAGGATGCCTTTGTTGTTCATTTGGTACCTCAGTTTTTAACATTCTAAGCTTGCTCTACCAAGCAGCTTTTTATGCCTAAGCAATAAGTCTCTGTCTTGAGCCATACCTAAACATAGAGTTTACAGCCATGGTCGAGGAAAAGAACATCTATGCCATCATAATCCCGTCCCTCTTTGTCAACTGCCTGCTTTGGCAGTTTGGAGAATGATAGATTTCAAGTCAGAATGAGCACTCCCCACAGAAAATGCACCAAGGAAATTAAAGTTCCGAGAACTTGAACTCATGTCTCTCAGTTCCATCCTGACGTTGCTGACAGCATTTCTGAATGCCTGGCTTCAGAGAGCCTGACCCACTGAAAGGTTTCAAAGTTCCAAGTTCAGGTAGACCTCTACAGGGAGATCATGGCGGAAAGTAGATGTGTAAAACCATACCCCACTTCTCAGGGTGGGCTTGAGGTTGAATACCTTTTGCAGGGAGGAATATTTGAGAAGGAAATCTTATTGGCTAAGCCCTCCAGGCCTTTTGGTACCTCATTAAAATGGAGATCTGTCTTGAGCCTACATGATCACAGGTCACATCCTCTACATGTTTAGGGGCTTGAGTCATTGCCCTTATGTGACTGATGGCCACAAATCTATAGGGGGCTGTAGCTAGTGATAACGGCCTGGTGCCCAGGAACAGGCAAAGTGCCTACCGTACCTTCAGGGTCTCTGGGGCTTCGAGCCTTAGCTCAACCAGGGACCAAGCTACCTTTCATGATTCCACCGTGGTGAATTTGTGTTCTTTAGAGTCCATATATAAGCAAGATCATGTGGTGCTCGTCTTTTTCTGGATGGCTTTTCTCACTTAACATATTGTCACTAGGGTTCATCTACAAGGTCTCCTCTGATACATGTCTCATTCAGGGTTATATTTTCATGACTAAATCCTCCCAAAACTTACTAATCTGGTTGATAATTTTGCAGCATTTGTCTGGCCTGCTCTGGCAACTATCTAATTTCTAACTAATCTGAACTCAGAATATTTTTATCTGTGACCCACTTATAATAACAGAAATATGAAATCAAACCAGAGAAGTTCTCATTTTTTTCCAGAATTTTCCCCAAAACCTATCATCTATTATGGTTCTCTTGAAAGCTATCTTGACCTCTGGCAATGGGCAAAGAGACATCTTGGTGGTGTTCTTCTGTCAGTCAGGGGCAGAGCAGATGGCAGTCCTTTGCTCATTTTAGCTTGATACTTTGCTTGGTGGCCAAAGCTGTTTTACGCCTAGGACTCATAAAAATCAAATCAAATCAAATCAAATCAAATCAAATCAAAGATAGGCAGTGCAGCATGGAAGGAGGAAACAGACCCACAGACCTGCCCTCAGTTCATAACACAGGCAGGCCATAGACACCTGCTTGCCTGCACACCACACTATTAAAGTAACTTTTATTCACCTAAGATAACTATTGTCTCTGAGGCTGACTGCTTTCATATGTTAATGTTAATGTTAACCTAGTTCTAGAAGTTTCTAGCCTCTGAACAATCATATCTATGCCTAGAATATTTTCAGCCTCTGAGATTTACTGCTGAATAAGCTTACCCTTTTTTGTTCTTTCTGGTCTCTGGCTACCTGGTTCAACTCAGCTATTGTGGCTCAAACTCCTCTCCAAGCTGACTGATTCAATCTGGCTTCTCTCAGTTTCTTACTGAATTGTTCTGCTTGGCTTCTTTCTAACTTTGGCAACTTGTTCTAAATGTCTGTCTCCTCATTCTCTGGCATGTTCTACCTCTACCTGAGTCTAGGTTGTTCTCTCTTCACCCTGTCTCTGTAAAACCCTCCCAGTAAAACTGTCTTCTTTTTTCCCCCTCTTTATTGCTCTCTAAGTAGCTTCCCTTTCCTGTCTCTTCTCATGAGAGTTGGGCATATCATATTCTGTCAAATCTTTCTCTGATCTAGATCTGGGCCTGGGTGGTAGCAAAGCTGGTCAACCCACTGAGTCTCACACCCTCAGGGCAAGCTCTCCAGCACTGCTCTGATTAGGCCACCCAATGCTGCCATTAGCAGGAGGCAGGGTCAGCTCTCCTACTCCCATGCCCTTGGGGCCAGATCACCTGTATCTGCACCTCCAGATCCATGTCCACTCAGCTCTGTCTGACAATTAGACATCACTTTCAAATGTGAGTGCTTCCTTCTACAAGCTAAGTTTATCTTCACTGGGATTAAAAATGTGTACTAAAGGCCTAAAAGTATGTCTGTATTCCAGGCAGAGGGGTAAAATATGTATACTAAGGCTGAACCAGCTCACAGCAGACCTGTGATTGGTGTGAGGTGATCCCCTCCCCGTCCTCCTTGCCACTTGTGGTAGTCAGTAGAGCTGGCCCTGAGGGCATGAGAATGAGAGAGGTCGCCCTGCTCCCTCTCTGGCTCTAGGAGAGCAGGCTCTGTACCTCCTCTAGCCAACACAGTAGAGCTGGCCCTGATGGTGAAGGCAGGAGTGAGCCAGCCCATAGAGTGTGAGAGCGGGAGAGCTGGCCAATCCCCTCCCAGGCTGCAGCACTTGGGAAAGTGGGCTGAACATCTTAACTGGGCAGCTCAGTGGACCTGGATCTGGAGCAACATTGGGTGGCCTAATCTGAGCAATGCTGGAGAGCTTGCCCTGATGGTGTGAGACTCAGTGGGCTGACCAGCTTTGCTACTACCCAGGCCCAGATCTAGGCCTCTGAGGTGACCCACCCTGAAATCTATACCATCTGGGAAGGGTTGGAACACATGAAATGACCAGTCCTACTGATTCAAAGTTGCAGGATCGCTGTAACATGGAGCAACAACAAGATAACTGGAAGGAGTCCCAGTGAGTATCCTGTATTGATAATGATTTTCAATGATGAAGCCAGTGAACATCAACCGGACCAATGATTCACTACAATGAACCTTTGCAAGGGGTATACTGTGGCACGTACTGTGACGTCCTACAGCTTCCACTATGAGATGTTTTCTCTGCTTTCTTTTTGGGTCGTGTGTGTGTGTGTGTGTTTGTGTGTGTGTGTGTGTGTGTGTTTGTGTGTGTGTGTGTGTGTGTGTGTGTGTGTTGGGGAGATGGGGAGATGAGTGGGACTGGGATGCATGATGGAAAACTCACAAAGAATCAATTAAAAAGCTATTTCTTGGGAGGCAGAGGCAGGCGGGTTTCTGAGTTTGAGGCCAGCCTGGTCTACAGAGTGAGTTCCAGGACAGCCAGGGCTACACAGAGAAACCCTGTTTCAAAAAAACAAAACAAAACAAAAACAACAACAACAACAAAGTTATCTCTTATAGTCTCCTAGCCATTTTCCTGCCATGGAAACATGTTAGAATTGTTAGATTTTGATTCGCAGCTTGAACAGATCACACCAGACCAAACGGTTCCCCTAGGGGAGGGGATTTACTAGGGTAGAGGGCAAAGGTGGGGGAGAGAAACAGAAGAAGATGACAGAGAAAGAGGAGAAGTAGAGGCCGGCCATGACCACGTGAAGAGAGGGGGAAGGGAAGGGGGAAGGGCAAGGGAGCAGAGAGAAGCTAGAAGCAAGAGAGTAAGAGAGGAGGGGGCAAGCAGCCCCTTTTATAGTGGGCAGGCCTACCTGGCTGTTGCCAGGAAACTGTGGGGAGGAGCATACCTGGGTGTTGCCAGATAACTGTGGAGGTGGAGTTTAGACAGAATACTAAAAAGAATGGCTTCAGAATCAAAGTCTTCTTGTCATCATCTACGGATATATATTGTTTACTTTTATTCTAGCCTCACTTCGGCTTTATGAGGTAATGGGGTTTCTTTTACCCTTTGTAACACTAAACAGGTATTTTTTTTTCAGCTCTTTATTCGTCTCACTTCATCCTTGGAGTTTCAGAGCTATCAACTTGTTCAACAGCAGCAATGACTCAAACCCCACTGTGTGCACACACAATTCCAGTACCCTGTGTGCACACTCAGTTCCAGTGTCCAGACTGAGCAGGGTTGAAAGGTAAAAGTGAGTTTTTCCTTTCTGAATATGTTACGACAGAAGTCTGGGAAGATTGCTATCTCTTCCAAGTGACCATTTCATAGGCAATGTCCAGAGTTCACATCTCCAGAAGTCAATAAAAAAATGACAGATAGTGGTGTCGTGTTCCAGCAACCCCAGTAGAAGGAGGGATGGGTAGGTGGATCTCTGAAACACCTTGGTTCAACAAAATCTATGAGCTTCAGGTTCAATGAGAGATATGGTCTTTAAAAATATACAGCTGGAGAGAGATGGAGGAGAGACCATCCGTGTTGACCTTGGGCCTCCACAGGCAGTTGTGCATGTGCACACATCACCACCACATGAACACACACGGTGACAAGAAATGTGTGCCCCTGAACCATGGCTTTGGATCATGAGGAAGCTGACAATGTACTGAGTTCTGAGCAGCAAAAGCAGAAAATAATCCACTCCACATCTACTTTGATTTTGAGAGCTCCTGGAAGCTTTGTTTCTGGGTAACCAAATCACTGCCACCCCAGCCAGCCACAGAGGGCTTTTTGAGACTAACTTTGATTCAAGAGAATTGAAGTGTGCACCGGGTGTTGTAAAACAAAATAAAGAGGAATCTGGATCAAGAAGACCAGATTTTAAAGAACAGTTAATCTTGAAACTATGACTACATGAATTGCCCATGATTGATTTAAGCCTGGGTTTTGTTTATTAATTTTATCAGATTCTGAAGGAACTTCTACTGGTTAATCAGAAGTTGATACATGAATTGTGAAATAACTAACCAAATATATTCTACATGCACGTGTACTTGATGAAAGCAATTAACAAGATTTATTTTCTTTAAAATGGATTGTTCAATAACATGGGCAAGAGAAGAGCAGTTGTTAAAAAAGTTTTCTACATGGTCCTGGCTTATGTCCCAGAGACCAATGCTGTATTAATGAAAAGGGAACATTGAGGGCCAAGGCAATCAAAGGAGAGTGCCTGAAGCAAGAGAAGAGAGTAGGGCCTGAGCCAAAAATAGCCCACAGCAGGATTCCTGAGAGATAATCCCTCTGGGTGACCTCCAGGCAGGGTTTCTACAGCCTGAAAAGGTCATCAGCTCCTCTGAGGTTCACCCTTCCTCCTGAAAGAGGTTCTGTGGACATCAGGAGAAACATGGGGCTACCAAGGCCTGTATGCTGCCACTGCACCTCCTGGTGATCCATGTAAGGGTGCTCTTGGTGGCTGGCCTCCTCCCAAATGCAGTGGGAGGTCCACAAGCAAAGCTGGTGGGCAGTTGCAACAGACGTGTGCCTTCCTTTCAGCCCTGATGGCCCTTACCTGTTGGGAGCCGCGGTGGGTGCTGGCAAAGTCCGCCATCGCTAGGTG